TCCAACAAAATTTAGGATAAGCAATACTCAGTAGCTTATGGTGTCATGAATTAATGATGTGTAAACTTAAATATTGTAATATTAATTTTAGTAAGCAGCAGGTTAAGTTTCCAATGTGCTTTTGACTAAGAGAAATTATAAAATTGTGAATGACTTGTTAGAAAATTAAGAATTAAGATTATTTCTCAGTATCTTCACAATTTATAACTCTCTACAGATAAAGCTGAAATTCTTTTTCTCTATTGCTAAGTTGCACTTTGCAGAAAAATCTATATTAATGCTGATGATATTCTTCATAAAGTTTATTTTTAAGATAAATGTTAGCACTGAAAAAGCTGGAGTTCTTAAAATGATTAAAAAGCAAAGAAAGCATTAATGAGCACTGACATTAGTAGAACTTTTGTGAAATACATTTTTCTTATGTCCTAAATTAATTGCTTTGATAGTTTTTTGTTTATGAATTTTTGTTGTTATTTCATGAGTACTTAAGTGTTTATTTTAAAATCTTGATATAATTCTAGCCCTTCTATAATATACAGGTATAGTTTTTATTCAGATTACCATTGGAGTCTTAATTAAATTCAAAATATATTCACACTATTTCTTCAACTGAATCTTTGATAAGTTTAAATACACTATAATTTGTTTCAATGAAAGTGTTTATTTTTGAATTATAGCAACTTAAAATATAGGTAATTCCTTTTTGGAAAATGATCATGTAATAATTTAAACAGTTTAAGAAGTGAACAATATGGAACATGTTTTGTTCATGTGCTGCAAACAAATACAGGTTTTAAATGAGCTTCATTTTTCTGCACTAAGAATGTTTAAAGCATGGACGATACTTGCATTTGGCTAAAGAAGTCATGTTGAAACGTCAAGGAAGAGGTGATGAGTTGAGACAGCCTACTTTTTCATTAGTATAGTGTGTGCAAGCAAATGAGATATCCAGTATATACGACTCATTGGACAACTACATTTGTTTTTAGGTTCAATGGTAAATGGATGGGGCTCTGCATCTGATGAGGATCGTAACTTTTCTAGTCATAGATCTAGTGTAGGTAGCTCCTCAGATGGCTCCATCTTTGCCAACGGCAGTTTTGCACAAGCACTGGTGGCAGCAGCAGATAAAGCTGGTTTTAGGCTGGATGGAACCAGCCTTACAAGAACAGGTTGGTAGATTCAAAATCAACACTCTTTGCATGAGGGAATCTTGTCCTTTGGACACTGAACTTTTTCTCTTCTGTTCTTTCTTCTTGGTGAGTCTAACTACATAGAGCTTTCTGTAACATGCATGAACACAGTTTGAATGCTGCACTAGCAAAACTCTCTTCTGATGCTAGTTTTGCAGAGCCAGGAATAGACTCCTATTCACCACCTTCTATCTTTTATTTCCTTTTTTCTTCATGGCTCTGCTGATTAATTGGAATATGCTTCCTTTTTATATTACAGCAAAGCAGCAACTAAGATTGCCATTAAATATTCAATAACTCATACTTTGCAAAATCCTCACATAATCAATAATGTACCCAGCGATTAAAATTATTCAGCTTTAATTTCCATTACTTTTCTTTGCCCCATCTCCTTCTACAAATGCGTTTTCTGGGATGGCTTCCTCAGCATGGGGTGAATCGGTCTAAGGCTGTCGGTCTAACAGTTCAAATGGCTGATGATCTTATTAATTGTTTGTCTATTAAGATTTTAATGCAATAATTTATTACTTGTTTTAAAGGATGCTAATTAAAGATACACCCACTGCATTTGCAAGTTTAGTGAAATGATGACTACGTGTGTATTGCTCTTTAGGGTAATTTAATTTTGATTTCTGAGAGTGATAAGTAATAATATCAAAAGACCAATTATGTCATTTTTCATGTGCTGTTCATTCCACAGAAAAGAAAAGTGAGATTAACTCTAATAATAGTTCAGTAATTTATAATCATTTGTTTTGCTGAAACAAAGTAACTTTAGCATAATGCATGCTCTTATATTTTTGTGTGTGCCTCTTAACTGCACATATAGGAAGATTCTAATATATGAATTAAACTTAGCTACCTTGCAAAACAATCAGTGCATTTTTGAAATCTTAATAGTGTTCAACTAGTAAACAAAAATGATTTTGACCCTTCACTAAACTCTCAGGTTATAAAAATGAGTCTTGGAAGTTCTCTGAATTATACCATCAATATTTTTTTTGAGCATTTATTAAGTATCTTCAAAAGAAATAAAAAAGATTTTTCTAAGCATTGCAGAGGTTTATTTTTCATATAGCATCCAAACTAAAATATGTTGTAATATAACTGTTATTTGAATTTTCTTGCTTTATAAGGCATACGTTGGAAACTTTATGTTGCCTGAGTGCTTTCTGCGGCATTAGCTGTAAGCAGAGCAGTGAGAAATTGCAAAGAAACTAATAAATTAGAAGGCATAAGTGCATTTCTTGCATGTATGCTAATAGCTAATAAAGCATTAAGCCATATCATGTCACATTGACTTAAGAAATCATAACTACATACAATAATTTTGCATGA